GCGCACCTGTTACATACCCCTTGTAACGGGGTATGTCGCGTGTGTGGGCCCCGGCCTTGTTACAAGCCTTTGGTTTTGACCCGCTCCCATATAGCTGTTTATGTGCAAGTGTACTTGCAAGTGTACTTGTGTACAACGTACATGTGCGCACGTTGCGCACGTAGGTGTAGAGCATATACATAATGCCTGCAAAACACTCCAACTAGACCAGGCAAATGCCACCCTCGCGTCCTCGCTGGAGCGGATGTTCGAAGGTTCCAGTCCAAAGCCGGAGTCATCATCCTGCAAGAATGACCGCATTGTTTTAGGTGCACATCTCTGGTCCATGGCGGTTTGCAAGGATCATGCAGGGTGTCATTTTTTCTGTTCAAGCTCTGGTTGCGCGTTTTACTAGGGATGAATGCCTGGAGGCTGGGTTCACAGATTCGTGGCCAGTAAGCCTACAGTCAACCCTAAAATCCTAAAACCCAACCCGGCTTGACCAAAATCTGATATTTTTAGATTACCCAGAAGCGTTGACTGTCTTGCACAAACAACCCGGGACACCGGGGCAAGATGCATGTGATTAGAAGATATAACTCTTATAACTATCTAGGGATGCTGGAAAATAAAATGGAAACAACGATTCAGGGCTCCGGGTTATACAGAGCTATAGGGATGTGCATATACGCGCCCACATCGGCTGCAAACAATGCGCTGCAGAAGCTCGAGTAACAGAACCCGGAACCCCAAACCTCCAGGAATAATACCCCAATACATGCCCTATCATAACGTAATTCTTCCCATTTTCTTTTCCAAGATCCCTGTATCAACCCATTATCTCTCTATTCTCCAGCACAACGTTATGCAAACAACTTTGGACTGGCGCCTTCGGAGGCGGGAACTCCAAATGTGGTTGGATCTCCGTCTTTTCCTTAAGGATTTGAGTCTTTGGGGGCTTCGACGGGTTGAGGTATTGGTTGAGGTATATCTTTCTAGGGTTTAGGGTGTTGAGTCAAAAGTTGCAAATTGCTCGGAAACACCTATATGATTTCACTTACTGGTTCTTAGCAGGGAATAACAATATGTATTGTCGCATAGGGTTTATACAGGATTATCTTCCCTTATTGCCTCGTTGTGGGTATATTGGGTTTAGGGTTTAAGGACTGAATTCAAAATTGGAGGAGAGCGCTTTCCTTTCTGCAGGGTATAGGGCGGAACGTCATCCAGGAGGATTCATGAGAATTTGGGATAGAAGCGAAACCCATGCCAGTAGCACAGGGTCAAGCAGCATGCAGGATAATTCGGCTGAACGTACTCCTGGCTCCACAGAGGACTTGCGTCACGCAAATTTCTAAGACTCGCTTCCAGGTGGAAAACATCTTCTGAGTTGTCATGTCCGGCGCGGTATGCTGCATCATTCCCATACTGCCAAAGCTCAAGGCCCACGAAGGACTCGCAAGGCTAAACAGAGAAATCTCTTCAGGGGGTGTTGCATGCCAGTTCATAATAAACCTACACACCTAAAGCCATCCGCAGTGAAATGCCTGGAGGAGCACACATGCATGGCTGTGCCCCTCAAAAACTTCTACCTCAACTTCTCAGGGAGAATGCGCGGACTTTGGTAGGGCGTTCTTGTGCATTTTTGAAGGAGATCTCCAGAGGGCCAGAAGGTTTATAGTCAGCAGGTTTGAGGTAATATAGGGGCAGGAGTTATATCTATCATGATAAGGTCTATTTGAGATACCCTGTAATTACCATATACATTTTCAAGGTGAATATGAGGAATCTAGAACCATAATGTTGATGATTGCTTCGGCTTCTACATTAGGCACGGGGCAGCTGGCAGCTTCGAACTTTGCCAGGCAGGTTGTGCTTGCCTTCGCTCAAAGGGCAGGCACTCGAACCCTAGAAACGTAATTACAGGAGTTACATAGGGTTACCGGGGCTTACAGGGATATATAGTGGCCTAGATGATTACCACAATCAGGCGGGCTCAGAGAATGTTTGATGCTAGAGGGGCGAGAGCGCGGTGAGTAGTAGAAAAGACGTCCTTCTTCCAGACTCATGGGCTTTAGTTATGGTAAGTGAGACCATAAAAAGAATCAAAGTGTTACTGCTCAGTGGAAGTAGCTCAAGGACAGAGAGAGAGACATACGTAGACATGGTAGATTGTCAAAACTGTGGTCCCTTCTTGGGTAGCCCACACAATTAGCTGTCGTATAGCGGGGGCCCAACAGCGACCAGAGTTTTGACAACTACCTCCCCCCACATGCATAATTACTGCTTCATATAACAGGCCCGGGTTGAGAGTGATGCAACATGAGTTTTCAAAATTTGGCGCCTTGCTGATGACAAGGTTCAGCCCATTGTGGCATATTGTAATATATTGGTATTCAATCAATACTAGGGGGATATTAGGGGGAAGGGATTGATTCAGCGGTTCCGATTGATCCCCGAGTCTTCAACAGGACGGACATCAACAAGACAAAGCGCAAAGACATGCGTGCGATGCAAGACGCCAAACGCTCAGGGCAGGGACTACAAGTAGTGTCTCCTAGCTGCAGAGTTCTCCTGGACAAAATTTCCAAAGGACCATTCATGCACCAAAACGATAAGGTTACCCACTTAACTACTGTACTCAGTTCTTTCTGGAATAGAAGCTCTTGTTGTGCATCCTTTGGAAGATAAGAGCTGGCCTGCTAGGTGTGAGCATGAAGGACCTCAACTGAGAGGTAACAAAACACCCAAATGTAGCACGTTGTCTCATTTCTTTATCTTAATTGCTCTCAACGTTTTCCAACCAAAGAACTAAAGTTACTGAATTTTCTTTTTCACGCTAATCTCCTTCCCCATGGGCCGATTTTTTGCGCTAGGTATTAATCGTAAATGACCCTGTTTTTTGTTGTGCAAACGCAACTGTTTATTGGAGGCTTCTGCGTGGTGAAATTCTAGATAACTCAGGCCGGCACCAAAACTTGGACAGCGTTGCTTTGAGACTGAATATGCAAACAGAACGAAAACGATAGACAAGCACATTCACCTACATGCACGCACATAACCTTTAGACATATAACCCCAATATAACCTTTATATAACTCCAATATATACCCAATATAACCCCTATATAACCCTAATATAACCTTTTTTTTACAAACTTTGCCATGTTTTGTCCTACAAGCTGCTCCACAAAGGTGAAGATTATCCCCAACTTCTTCTGGGCAAGGTTGAAGTCCTCAACTTGTTTGCTGCACCTGAAGCTCGGGTTTGAGAGCTCGGATGATTTGGGTGGTTGTCGAAATTATGGTCCCTTTTTGGGTACCCTAAATATTAAGTGTTGTATTATAATAGGGATGCAAAAAGGGACCATAGTTTTGGCAACCACCCATTTGTAGGATTTGGCTGTTGCGGGGTTGAGGGTTGGGGGTCTCGTCTCAAATCTAGGACAGTGGTTGTAAGCATAGTACATCATGTTCGAGACATCTGTTGGGGTTTAGTTCGTGCTCCCTTCTTCTAGCGCAGGCCCCAAGCTATCGAGATCCCTGGCAGCCGAAGGCTCCCAAACATCCCATACCTAGCAACGCACTTATCATCTCCAAACCTTCAACCATGGGGATACACTTCAAACCCACTAGGTTGAATGGTCTGCCCAAGACATGAGGGAGGTGCCGTTCTCAACAGCAGCGGCAAAAGTCTGAAGCTACAAAGTTCTGCAAATCTGACCTCGACTTTCAAAACCACGTCACCTGCACAACTATGCAGAATCCCTCAGGTAGGGTGTTGCGGAAGATTTACCCCATGAGCATTTGGCTTGGAATTTATAACCCTATAATATAACCCCCTACATAACCCCTACAAAACCCCAATATAACCCCTCTATAACCCAATATAACCTTTTAATACAACCCCTTTAACGGCTGATGGAATTGGGGTGCAGGAGCTGCAGCTGCCACTCAGCTACACAGGACAACCACTGCTTAATAGGACCTAGCCCTGCTGCTTGGGTCCCTATACCCTAAGGGTCCAAGTACCCAATGATTAAGTACTTGGGTTTTGGGTAATAGTAATTGTAGCGAAAATTTTGAGCAAGCATATGGTTATTGCGTACTTGGACCCTTAGGGATAATGCTTGTTGAGCTTGAGAGGCTACCAGCTTCCATGACTGCGACTATGTCATGTATCACTCGCTACACTTCCTACGTTAAAGCTTCAGGCAAGCGCACATAGGCCAACACTTCTAGACCTCTCCAGTTCAAGTCTCAGGCGCAGCCCACTGAGGATCCAAACGCTGACCTGAGTTCTGCTTTGAGGGTGCCTGATAATCCCTGTATAACATGTTCCCTTACTCCCTGCTAATTCTAGACCTTATTTAGTATATTCCTTTAGCACTCAGCACAGGCGGGACTTTGCTGTTATGGCTTGGGCGTGCTGGCCAGTGATCCCCCGCTTGCCAAATCCCATGGCTGCTCACATCTTTACATCAACTCCTCGAAGGCACCATGTCAAGTGTTCCTTATTTGTGGTTGCCTGCATGGAGCACAAACGGACCCAGTGGAGCCATAAAGATCCGACCTCTTCACAGTAAGCTCGTTGAGAAGGCTTCGCTAGTCATTCACACTTGGCCTCCTTCTTTTTCGCACAGCTTGATCACAGATTGTTGGCATCCTTTACAGCTTCTGCACCCTGCATCTTGAACCCAGTATGCAACCTGAATAGGTTTGGGCTGGAGCTTCATAGTACGTGGGGGCGTGAAAGGTTTTTTGACTGTTACTGCTATCATAGTGCCACACTTGCCACGGCAAAAGCCCAAAGCTTTTTACTGATAGCGCTCTCCTGGAACCTCTAGGGGTCCGAAAATTCTGTTGTCGCACGGAAAGACACATACACTGAACAATGGTCCGTCTTACAGAAAGGTTCTTGCTGTTCTCTATTCGAAAGTGCCTTTGGCAGAAAAAGCGTTCCGGACCGGCAAGATCTCGTCTCGGCCGGCGGAGAGCGTTGTCACCAGATGTTACCGCAAAGCACTTGTCTTCAATATACCCGAGGACATAACTTTCAGTCCCTGACCACGAAAACTAGCGCCGTAGCGCTTTTCTACAGAACAGCTGAAATTCTATGGGCTCCTCGGGAGGTCCAGGCTGTAGTGCCTACTGCGCAACTGCTGTGTTTTCAGGTCCATGTTTCCTAGAAACTGGCGTGTCCAAGATCGACAGCTTTTCCAAATGAACAGTGCTTTGTGGATATCTCGGGACCCCGCTGTGAGAGGTACCACAAAAAAGATTAAAACTAGCTTTGGCATGCCTTGGCAACCTCCCACCATTTCAAGGCGTTTCCGAAAATGAAGGGCTTGCTTTCGGAGGTCCTTGCATAGAAGCCCCCCCCCCTATTTATCAGGTATATGGTCCCGTTGAGCACGCTGATTTTGAACACTACTACCAAGGACTTTCCATGCTTGCTTTCCCCAAAACCAGGTCGAGCGCGTCGCTGACAGAACTCACATATGAGGACCCAAAATATTTATTTTGATTGAAGCAAATCCCTGTTAAGCAGCTAGTTTTTGGAATGGTACACGTGTTACGCAGGAAGCCAAATACTCCTTAAGTAAGGAAGATGCGCTACATCATACTAGGGATCCTATAGTGAGTACCATTCAAGGTACAGTGTAGTTTCCCGGGTAGCTTCCAGAAACAGGGAGGCCCCAACGTAGACGCTTAAACACTATAGAATGCTTTCTCAAAGGGAACCCCAAAAAACCGGACCCCTAATTTCCGGACCCCCCCATGTTCCTTTGTTAAGGCATATGGGTTTCTCTGGGCATCCTAGTCACTGGCTGGCCGGCTGCGGATCCAAGGCAACTTCGGAGGTCCTGCAGGGTGTAGGTCACATCAGGACTAGATTCACGCAGGAGTTATTCGTGGATTGCATGGTTTTTGCAGGGTTATCTTGGGCTGATATGGGTTAAGCGGGATTACATAGGGTTATGTAAAGGTGCTATAAGGGGTCATCTACGGATCATGTGAGAGTAGATAGACACATTGTCCCCATAACGAGAATCAACATAATTGATCATAATTGAACATGAAAGGACACCTTGGACTCTATGGGTTGCGGGCTCGGCGTCTCTGGATTTGGGGCGTTCGAACGCGGATTGCGCTGCTGGCCGGTATGCTTTAGCTTGTCGTAGAGGTTTGATTTGTAAGCTTTAACTTTAACGTTTTTTTGGATGTGTCGCCTGGGTACCTTGACTTAGAGTTGAAAGGCCGACAGCTTGAAGACTCGTAGAGACTGGAGGTCCAAAAGCGTGTATGTGAGACAAGACAGGATGCAAGGCTATGTATGAGTCACGCAAGCGATATTTGCACTCAGGGCCAGATTGTTTTTTCGCGGTGGATGCTACAGCTTGTCGGGCCTGCGATAGCTGGTTAGAGGGCTTTCTGGCCAAGGCTACAGACTTGTTACAGCTTGGGGCCTTATGATAAGGTCTGGTACACAATTTGCACCAGCAGAGTCCAAGCAATCTTTGAGGGGCACTCCTTCCACCCATCGTGCTTCCATTTTGTGGACATAAACTCGGTGTTGGGCATGCTTGAAGGTTGACTTGCGGCTGAGGCCTGTAGCTCTTCAATCGTAAGCCTCACCCTGAAGGACTCACTGAACTCTAGCCATGGGCTTTTGCAGGCTTCCAACCTGTGCCGCAAAGCGAAGCGCATCCCCAGCGCCCTGGGCCGTTTTATTCAGCGCGTCGAACAAGGACTCCACCTCTGCGCATCCCCTCGTTTACTGCTCCTGTTGTGTTTCCCTTTTAATCTTTTACCGCCGCGGGTTTTTGGGGGCGCGGGGACCTCCTACTCCTGCTGCTGCTTCTTCTACATTGCCTTCTTTACTGGAGGGCAAATGGAACATGGGCGTTCGCAACCCCCAGCCCAAGCTACGAGCATGGATTTCATGAACCAACTTGAGTTTGCGTAGCCAGCGCCGCACTGCACTGGAATTCAATCAGTCCAGACAAAGGAACAGCTGTGTAGAAGTAGTCTGATTGCGCAGATAGGAATCTTGGTTGCCTCACGCCTCGGGACCCCTTGTGCTGCAAGTCTTTAGTTGGTTTGTCTCGTCTTCAAGGCTGGAATTTACACTTGTTGGAGCAAACTTAAACAGGGCGGTTGCTGCTACCGCCCTGATGGGCCAGGAGTGTTGGAAACATGTCTACAGTGGCACGCGAGCACATCGTTGCTCCCGATCCAGAAACATGACTTGCTCCACGGCCAGGTCCGTAGCCTACTAGCACTACCAACTAGCACAGTTGAGACTTGAAGAAGTTGATCCATGCACTTCGTACTTAACAAATCTTAACACTACGAAGCCAGGCTATGACAACAGCATTCAGACAACTGCTACTTAGAGACATGCTGTGTACTGGTCAGTAAGCTACTTCAGAGCTTGCTAGGCTCAGAATCGTCCACTGCGCAGTGCAAGGCAGCCTTAAGGTATGATGCAACACGCTGTAGAGCAGCACGGGCGTCGCTGATCACAGGCCTCGAAGACAGGGTTTTACTTTGACGCTCTCGAAACGTCATGGCTTCTGGACGTCTTCTACTAAGAAGAAAACCCCAACTCGACAAACAAGGGCTGATAAGATCTACAAGTAGAACCATATTAGGGGTTATAGGGTACGTGTTGGGGTAATATTGGGATAATGGAAAAGAAAATGGAAACTACCATAATGGGTTATATATGGATTAACTGTTTTCATGGAGGCTGCTCTTACACTGCGAAGTGAAGCAGAAGAAACGGACGTTTCGACGCAAGGTGATTTCGAAAATCAGGGGCCCTCATGTACACGGGACATGTTAGGATCGTTGATTTAAGACCCAGAAAAACCTCAACATCTTGCTGTACAAAGCTTCGATTTGCGTAACCATTTGACCCTCAAGCCAGCCCATAAAGGCTGCAAAGTCAGAGAACTAATCCCCTTGACATGAAAATCCCCCTCCTCCGCTTAGATTACTTATGCCCAAAAGATCAGTATATACAGACCCCTATAATCCCAGTTTCCATTTCAATTTCCATGTTCTTTTCCATTTGATTCTCCATTATTGGGGGATCGTATCCTTATATTACCCCTATATACCACCCCCAATATAACTCTATAAAACCCTTATTGGGGGGTAATGTCCCTATATAAGCCTTCTATATCCCTAAACCCTGTATATCCTCTCTTTGGGTTTTGGGAATTAGGGGGATGGCGGGTTTGAGTGCTGGGGGAAGGGCGATCAGATTGTGCACTTTGCCCAGTGGACACATCAACCCCCAAAACCAGGCCCCGATTAAGGCCATAAGATGGTTCTGGGTCCTAATTATCAGGTTATAGGGGTTATATTGGGATAATGGAAAAGAAAATGGAAACTACTATTTAGGGTTTAGGGTTTATAGTCCTCCTTAAGTAGATAGAATATGGCTTGGGGTATAGTATAATAAGATCCCCATATACCCCATATTCTATCTACGTAAGGCGGACTATGATTGTTAGGTCCTTTTGCAGCAGCTCTCCACGCCTGGTTTAGCTGCGCGTCTATGATCCCACGCATTACTAACGAGTTCATACAACAGGACCTGCTTGAAATCTGAGAAAGCTTGTGGATGAAAATGATGGAATTATTTGAGGTCTTAAGCCCTAAACCTGAATTTTGATGGTTGGGGGTACCAAAATCAGCTGGGTCCTCCACGAAAAGTGTTTGTCCAAGTGGCACTATCTCAACTCCATGCAGTGACGTCAGCTCTGCTATCCTGGCTGGTTCAAGTACCGTAATATGGGGGCTTCCATAACAAGGGGGCCGCAATATCTACACAATATTCCTTTATATAGGAATTCGAAAAGCCAGCCCCTGCCTTCTCGAAAACTGCCCAGATGGATGATGATGGACATATAGCAAAGTAATACAGTTCGCCATGATGGCAACTGATTTAGATTCCTTAAAAGCAACCCTAAACCCTAAACCCCTGTTTCCATTTCATTTTCCATTCTCTTTTCCATTTGATTCTCCATTATTGGGGGATAATATCCCTATATTACCTATAGATAACCCCAATATAGCTCTATAATATAACCCTTATCGGGGGGTAATGTCCCTATATGAGCCCTATATAACGCTAAACCCTGTATCCTGGCGGCCAGCTGCACGGTTCTCCAAAGCCTCAGTACTTTCTCCTTACTTACCTTTGCTTGTAAGGAATGGAGGAAGGGAAAACACATGGAAACTGCTCCTATATTTCTCGGGTAATCATGTAGGGACTATCATAGAGAACCATTCTTCCAATGTGAAGCTGCGACTGACAATTGCCATGCAGGTAGAACACATCTGCAACGATGGCATACAATGGCCACAGACTGCAGGGAGCATCAAGCATTGATGGTATGTAGACTGCTTGTGTATCTGAGAACTTACACCCCTCCCCGGTACAACGTACAACGTGGTCAGAGAAAGTCATCTTCCATCTCACTAGGGCCGAGGCTTCAGACTCTACAGTAGGGTTTGGTCATGAACTCGTTTACATTGCATGTCGAGGAGCGTCAGGCCGGAGCTCTCGTACGTCCTGTGGGCACCCATCGCCGCAAGTGATAGCACATTCAAAACTAGCCCCATCTTGATACGAGACATTTTTTGGCGCGACTTCCGCGATGCTGCAACACCTCAGGCCCGCAACCCCCAATAACTGACACCAGGTACCTCTTAGGCTCCAAGAGGCCTCGAGGCATGGATGTCAGGATTTTCAAGGCGCGAAGGAAAGCAACACTAAGCTGGTGTCAAGCAACAGAACTGTCCACAGATCAGCTTTCACTATGACAGCTATGCTGCTGCCAGGCAGCCTGAATCACTACATTTTGCACCTAGCACTCTCTGTACTATCCTTAGACCTATAATAAAGATATGTTTAATATTTCCTTAGGGTTATACTATGGTAAAACTTAACAATAATGCTCAGGACAGTACAGCTCTTGGATCTACCAAAATACGAGATTGGGCGCCTGCAGTCCAGGTAGACCTTGCATGCAGCATCAGGCGTAGAAAGCCGTCGCTCCGCATTGGCACTTGCCACCTCTGCAGAGGACATCCCAGGACCGGCTTTAGGATTTTGGCTTCTGCGGGCTGGAGATCGTAGTTTCCAGAGGTTGTTCGCATGATTAGTTTGATGCAGGAAAAGGTCAACGTCTATATCTAGAGCGATACTCTTGCCCTAGCTCTAGACATGATCAACAGGCGAAGCTGTTTCCAATGTCTCCGATACACTAGGACCAGCAAGCAGCCTACAGTGGGAAATGAAGCTGGCCGTTCCATGGTTTGTTAGGTCCCTGGCACACGTTTACACACAGTTGGCCAGCCTGGCATGCTAGCAGCATAATCGCCAAACGGTCATCTGAGTCATTGTGGTCAACATCCACCAACATTACCTGGCGCAAATGTTCAGCCGCTGCGTTTGAAGTCAATGCCAAGGCTTCCCTGACAAAACTGCTCTAGTCTAGTTACGAAGTCCCAAGGTGACCGGGGAACGCGAGATGAACAAATTCCCAACCGCACCGTGCGGGAGCGGAATGCACAGCAAGGTGGGCCAAAATATCTGTCATTTTAGACTGCCACTGCTTAGAGCAATATTTTGAAATTAGTTTTGGCTCGTGCTTCCATACGGATTGCAGCACAACCTGACGGTCTATACGCATATCCGTTCACTTCCAAACACAAGGTCATACAAGGTCGCTGCCGAAATAAGACCTTCTGCGTAAGAGAGGAGGAGGAACTGCGGCCATACCCTCTCTCTCTCTCGGTATGCGCATACATGAACGCATATGTGCACACATAATATCTTCTACAAGCTTCCGCACAGCCCACCTGGTGCTCGCCCATCGCAGCGAAGTACTCCGCCGAGCTTTCCCAGCCGAAGCCTCGTCTGTCGGAGTTAGCTGCATCTGCTATGCCGGCATATTCCGACACGCTAGTGTTCAGTGGTAATTGGGTATGAAACTTGAGGATATCACCTCGTATATTTTGGGTTTCCCCTACAGCGGGCCAGTCCTAACCCTTCAAAATTAGGAAGAACCCTCCAAACTGCAGATCAAAGCAGCCGCTGGTGGAGTTTCGGGTTTGAGGGCTTGGGCTTTTAGAGCCTAGTTATCTGGAATAGAGAGGCATCTTTTGGTATTGCAGGATGAGCATATGGGATGCTGACAAGACGTTGTCCGGGCAAATTCTTGCGGAAGACATGTAAAAAGGTTCCGGACAGAAACCCATTGTTTCTCTTACATCTGGCAGGCGAATGTATACATACATGCGTGTATGCATGTAAATATATATGTGCATATATATATATACATATTGTTTCTGTTTCCGGTTCCTATGATCGCTTCTCCTTATGGTAAAACGACGCAGCCCCCCCCCCCCAACCCCACCCCAACGATAGATACCCTAGAGGCTGAAACACTTTGTCCTCCGAAGCTAGCAACTCTCAATTGGGCCTGTCAGCAACAGTCTGTGTTATTTGTGTTTGGAGAATTTGAAAACCCGAAGCAATGTTCTTGCGTCTTTGCAGGTGTAAAGAGTGCTTGGCTAAGCTACAGCTAAGGAATCTCTAGTGCTACTTCTTAGCCTGTGCAGCAATGCTCACTGCGCGTCATGTACGAAGATCGAAGCTAGGCCGCTCTTGTAGAAGGCTGCGAAAGCAGCACCACTTTTTCCAGCAGGAAGAGCTTCTGCCAGCCGCTCGACACCATGCCTGACCGGGCAGGAGCGGGGAGAAGGTAACACATTGGCTACGATTTTTAACAACCTGCCTGAAGAGCCTTGCCTTATTTTTACAAATGGCCATACAAGCTTGCCGGAATTAAGCAACGGCTCCTATGGCGTCCCATGGTACAACATTGTAGATCCCGCTGGGGGCTGGAGCGACTTCACTCATTGGGATCACATTCTGCTTGTTCAAGCTTCACAAGAGGATTTAGTCCGTGTGCGTGGCCAAGTCACAGAAGTAGCTCTTCCGCTTCGGCGCTTGAGGGCAAGGACAGCTGGATTCGCACCTTGCCATCCAGAATGCCAAGCTCAGCTGCTTGCATTGTCGTGGTCCATCGGAGGCTAGTAACAGTGTGCGAACGCTGCGCATGATGGCAAAGACTTGCTAGTAGGACCCTTGGATCAGAAGCAGGCCAACCATGTGTAGCCACCTCCTGGAATGAGAATCACCGTAGGGTTAGAAAAATCGAAACAATTCTGAAAGCACCCTGAGACAGGGACATCGGCATAGCCTTGGCAAAGCCCGCTGTCCAGCATTTTGGCCTGAGAAGTGGATCCCCTGAAGTGGTTTGGTCCAACCACCAGAGATCAATGCAGGATCAACTGAAGTTTTGTTGGGGACGAAGTGCTTTCTGCTTTTTTACTAGGAGGATTTGCCTAGTTTCCTAGAACCAACGATAATCGGTTTCTGGCGGTGCTTGAGCGAGAGCCCCCACATGTGCAAACAGCTTTGAAAGGCTCCTGCTGGCAAACTGTAAACTACCTCTTGGCTGAGATACAGCAGGGTTAGCAAAGAATGCGTCAACATGTCATGAAGATAATCAACACTTCCTTGCTCTGCTTTGTATGGACCCGCCGTGCATGAACAGGGACTACAACTACGCATGACTGACTTAACCGAAGAAGTTATCACTGTTACTACTGCTTGTTCTGCTGCACTTCTTCCTTCTCCCAATCCTACCAATGCTGTTGTGGTGAACTTGCGGATTTGTTAAGGCCGAGCTTCCCAGGCTTCATGCGGCTTCGCGTCAGGCTCGTCCAGCAGACTTCGCAGCTGCACGTTCTGAAACTTATCCTGGGCATCCCTACTGTCGATACTAGAAATCCTGCACGACCTTAGTATACTGTAGTAAGGTCATGAAGGATTTCTATTATCCACCGTAGTGACTGACGTAGTGTCTGGAACATGATGCAATGATAGATGGAATGATGCAATCACTGGGCTTACACTTCGCCCATGATGTGTACAGGCGTCTCAGACTAGGCAGAAAGGTTGACGCTTGCATGCGGCTGCTATGGTCTTGTATCTGCAGACTACTGAGTACGTCTATACATAGCCATACCACGCGATGACAATACAGGCAGTTGCCATGGTAGTACGACTCCTTTTCATATCTTTTCATCTTGCCAGTGGTTGCCGTTGTCATCACCCGGCGAACAACTCTTGTTGGTCGGCGGTTGTGGTCTTCGTGATCGGTGCGGCGTGGTGGCAGTGGCACGCAGCAGCCGCAGTTGCGGCGCTGATCTTGACATACTGTGCTAGTGTAGGGTTCCTGCACTAATACGTCTTGAGCAAACCCAGTGTAATTAGGTTGAATGTAGGCCGAATATGCAATCTTGCCCGTAGTTTGTTCTGATCTGAAGAGAGTTGTGTAATACTTTTGGGTCAGGATGTGGGAGCTTTGCCTTGGCATTCCAGAGCCCAAATCCCTGCAAGAACCCGCATGAGCTATAGCCTAATCTGCAAGCATCGCCCTTAACAACTCCAATAGTAGTTCCCTATGTAGTTCCGTATATAACATCAATGAGTTTAGATTATGGCTCACATGCTTACATGGAGGTTTCTAAAAACAGTGCAAACCTTGAAGTGAGGGGCATCGTCTATCTGGGTCTGTATTGCGCTTCCCTGTTTATGGATACTTCGTATACTGGTGGTGATGCCCAGGCAACGCTACAAACATCACTGTTGAATGCCGTCCACGTGCTTACCCTTCCTCTTTATCTTGGCTTCCAAAGATTGTACTTCTGCTTTCTCTCTCCTTCCTAAACCCCAACCACTAAACCGGGTGGAGAGTGGGTGCTCCATGATCAGGACTATGTTGGGGATTGTGAGGCATGTGTGAAAGCTCTTGTCATCCAACCAGGCTTGGCATGCTTGAGCAAAAGGGCGTTTTTTATTCCAAACACAGCAAGAAAGTAGGTCAATCTAAATCTATGCCAACACCCTACCTGAGATCCTAGTTGACTGTGAATATGACTATGGTACATAATTATCGGAAATTTGTATGCAGTATACAGTTGCTATAGCTGATCGTCAATTAGGCAACCCCCAAAAACTTAACCCTGCATCCTAAACCCTATGATAAGCCCTATAGATCCTAAACCCTAATCTTGCGGCTTCAATACCCTAAACCCTAAACCCCTAAACCCCTAAACCCTAAACCCTAAACCCCTAAACCCCTAAACCCCTAAACTCCTAAACCCAGGACGAGGCACAGCCTTGGATTGGGCTGAAGGCGTCGGCATGTCGGACGGGTGCTGGGAGGTAAGGCTTGGATCCCTTGCTTTCTCACAGGCTGGGGCAAAGGGTTTAGGATTTAGGGCTTAGGGATTTGGGGGTTTAGGGTTTTAGCGTTTAGGGATTTGGGGATTTAGGGCTTTAGGGTTTAGATGTTTTGATCCATGTGAGCTATATAGTCTAAACTCCTAGTACCCCCCTTTATAAGCCCTCTAGTAGTCCCCTATATAATCCCCTATATAGTACCCCTTAAAGGAATTTAGACTATAGCTCATGTAGCCCTAAAACCTAAAGCGGGCCAGGTTCTGAAAGAGCGGCTACGGAGAGCCCAGGGCCCGAAAAAGGTCGGGATCTTGGCGGGGTTGGGTAGGCAGAGATGTGCAGCCTACCGAACTGACCTTAGTACGTCTAAAGACTTTCCTCCTGCCATTGTTCACCTTGCCTGTATGGCGGGGGTTCAGGTTTGGGAATTGGGTATTAAGGTTTGGGCTCACAGCTTGTGTGGTGAGGCCCAGTGACGTCTGCTCCTGACAGAAAAGAAGAAGGAATTGTAAAAGGGATTGTCTGAAGGCAGGCTCATGGGGCCGTGGGGCCGCGATGCTGAAACAGCTGGCGGATTTCGAGCAGTTGAGGGCATTGCCTGCAAAGAGCCTACCATGAGCGGATGCCGAAGTCAGCGCAACAAATTACTCCTCAGAGGCTTCTGGTCACGGAATTTCACGGCCTTTTCGACACCCAAGCTTGAAACCCTAGATCCCAGTGGAACTCTTGACCTTCCATAATCCACCTCTTTTTCATCAGTAACAGGTAATGGCAGACATCAATAAGACTCTTGTTGTCATAGTATGGTGTTGGTCCACATGGGCACAAACGTGTCAACAAGGGAGCCGGCATCATAGCCATATTAACCTTTGTCCTGCCTACCATCATCACAGCTCGGTAATGTTTTATGAAATAGACCTCAATCAACCAAGAAACACTTTCACAAGCAGGACATGTAGTTTGAGCATGACAGTGGGTCAAACAATCATCCTTAGGACCACAAAAGCCACATGCACGGATTTCTTCAAGGGGGTAATAGCCCACTCCCCCACCCCGCGCGAAACAACCAGCCAAACCCAACTCAACGTCCGAACCCAGCTGGTCGCCGCCTCAGAGCATGCTGCCAGCTCCTGCAGGGCTACGGGACGGTTCACACATCCCAAAACATGAGAAGAACACGCATCATCGTAGTACGTAGCAGCAGCAGGAGGAGGAGCAGCAGCAGTGGCGGCAGCGGCGGCAGCAGGAGTAGCAGCAACCCTGGCAGTAGCAGTGATAGTAGCAGTATAGTGGTAGTAGTAGCAGCGGATGTGGTAGAAGCAGCAGCCGTAAGTCATCGCACCTCAGTGTGCCTCAGCATACTCCATGGTTAGCCCACAGCCAACAAAAGCAAACCGTGAAGCTACTTGCTTCAGACTGTCAAACTCTCCTTCACCTCCTGCTGAATGGCCTGCACCTGACGGGAGAACTGGCTCAGTCTACTAACCACGAGTCCTGCCTGGGACGCGCAAAAATCATGCTGCTGAAGCCCTGGCTGAGTGTACAGACATCTATACACATCTCACACTCGCCTTTGATATCCAAGAACTGCGTACAGCTGCGTGCATGTGCTGGCACTGCATTAATTTGGCCTACGTTGGGTGGGAAAAGCCTGTTTTTGCTGCTGTAGATTTCAGCCAGAGCGGCCAAAGCATCAAGACGGCTAGACTCAAATGAATTGTTCATAGGGCTGAAGGATCAGTAGCTCAGTGTTCCAGGGTTGCATAATGTCCAAGAAGGAATTCCCTTCTACGAACATGTGAGTTACTGTAGGCTGGGCTGCGCTCACTAGCAATCGTCTCGCGCGATCTACGGAAGATGAATAACAAGCAATATGCGCACAAATAACCCGACCAACAAAATCCACTGAGCTTGAATCCCCAAGAGACTATAGAGCCCTTAAGTAAACAGAACATGGGGTATATGGGGATGTTATTCTAACATGCCCAAGGCCATATTCTATTTACTTAAGGGGTACCCCAAACCCTAAATAGTAGTTTCCATTTTCTTTCCATTATCCCAATATAACCCCTACATCTACTCAGGGGGGATCTACTGCCTCGTCAAAGCTGTTTAGTTCACGCTTACCTGCTGGGTTGTGAAGTCGAATATTATGATTTACCATGCAATGTTCTACTGAGATATGCCAGAGCATATGAGCTCATATTGAGCCAATTATACAGCATCTTATGATCTACTGTATTGAGTCAAGTGTATATTTTTCTAGTAAGTACATCATAACGTAAACTTGTCCAGACATGGTGTACGTTGGTTTACTCTATGTACTACACTATCTTACGCTAGTATCTTATGCGATAACCCCTACTATGAAACCTCAACCCTAAGCCCTGGCCCTGAAGCCTCAAGCCCTAAACCCTTCACCTAAC